TCGGCGCGCGTTGATGTGGTGAGGCTACTGCTCGTGCTGTAGCCTTGGGTCGTTGGCGACGCCTTGGCATCATAGAGCGAGTGGCTCGGCGACGTTCGAGGCAGAGGGCTCCGAGTCGGCGACGTGGCAGTGTGTGGACTCATTGGTGTTGAGCAGCGAATGACGAAGTGATCCTGCGTCTTCAGCGTCCTCTTGATGACGCACGGCTGGTCAAAGAGGCAATTCAAGCAATTCGCATATCTGAGCTGGATCGGTTTACGTGGCAGGTCCATATTTTCAAATGGCAGAGCATCATGTACTGAATGTGCGAATTTAGACAGGCCGACGTGTCGCATCGGAATCTGATTTGAGCGCGGTCGTAATTCACTGTGCAGCAGCAGACGACGACAATAATGACTACCGAGATGATTATTAGATCCTTGGGTATCGGGTTAAACATCGTCACGTAAAGTTGACTCAGTGGCAGATGCCCAAAAATACATTCGCCCGAATGACGTGCACGCGGGGATAGCGCCTTGGCTCATCACTTTGCCGCATCGCACCCTCTACAACCCCACTACAATAGCAGACATATGGTCACATTTCAGTATCCAACCACTGTAGGCTCAGCGGTGCGCGGGCTTGCTACCGACACGAGCGTCTCAAATGCATGCAGCAAGATGGCACAGTATATTCCTCTTGGTCTAGTCCATCATTCCAAACAGCGATATCTAGCAGCGATACATATTGTGCGCAAAAGCGGCACGGACAACGGTGCTGAACCAAGGAGACTCGCAGATGCCATCGAGCTGACAAGACGGGCTTGGAGACTAACACACTTCTCGTGCGATCGTTTGATAGCAAAAATGTAAGATGTATGTAAATTCTAATTTATTTTATTTTGTCCTAACGCGCAGCGTAGATCCAGCGTTCTAGCTACGGTTTGTGGTTGTAAATGTACTGTGTCTGGAGCGTGCTTTGCTCGACCATGTGCCGAATGCGCGTCCGCTGCAGCTTGCCAGAGGTGGTTTT